AAACCTATTTGTATTTTAAGGATGCTTCTAAAAACAATTCACAACTTTTGAGGCAAATATTCAGAATGGTTTGCTAATTTAGACTAAGCAATACAATGTCAGAGAGCATCGCCCTAAAAATAATTCCTACATACTCCTTACTCCTAAGCATACTTTCTAACACTGCACAATGTTCCTGGGACCTACTGCAAAGACAAATAACTCCGAATAAGGCATGGAAACAAATAAATCATTTTCTTCTAGCTTTGCTCACAGTTGCTAGCGTATTTTATGCAGAATTATTAAAAGGAATTTCTCCAGGAACTACTTGCACAACGTGAAAGCTACATAAAGATTGCTCTGGTTAGTTCTTTCACCGTGCTGTTGAGATTCCTCCAGATGGTACAAAATTGGATCTGAGGCTGGTCCTGAAATACCAGTAAGACCAATAAAATTTTACCAGCCATCTCATACTGGTGTCAGTGCTGATAGGGAGCAATGCCTCTTCTTCTGAAGACATCCATTGCCTTTATCCATAAGCTAGTGTACCAACACTGCCAGAGTCAGCGAGATGATATAATGCAGTGGTTTGAATGTACTGTATATACAAAATGCAAAACTTTTCAGAGGTATACCTGCCATTTCCCTTTGTCAGTTCTAGAACATTCCTCTCCTCCTATTTAGCATTCCTCTACTTAAGATAACTGCACAGATAGCTTTACTATAGAAGATGGTGGTTCTTCAACAAGTGGATCCCAAATGGGTCCTGTTAAACTAAATATCACTTTGATAAAAAGAACGACTCTTTTCACAACCATGGTGGGTCTCAGATTCTCTTTTCCTCTGTGCCATAGGATGGATGTGTAGTGGTTGGAAAAAAACACAAAACCAGTTCTTTTAAGTGAACAATATTCATTAACAGGGTAGCAATTCCCTTCACTCTCTGGAGAGGGTATATGTGGCAGAAACAATAATCCTCAGTTCTAATGATCATGGGTTAAGTGCCTCTTGATGTTCCGTGTTTTCACAATACATCTGTGGATAGTAATAGACTTAATCTAGAGAGGTTTGGCCCCTTGACAAATGGTCTCCACAGAGAGCAAACAGAACCAGGGCACTTAAATAACACCACAGCCGCTAATGATATGATTATGGAAGGTGATAATGCAACAAGAATGACTCTCAGCAGCTTCCAGGAGTTACGACTCATGAGAACAGAGCCTATTAGAAAAGAGGCACCCAATTTCTGCTTCACACTGTTGCTATGATGTATAATCTTTTTAAATAGATGAAAAAAACCCACAGGACAGCAGAGAAAAAGCTATTTTAACATAAATAACTTACTCTCAGCAGGCTTTGTGGTTTAAAGGACTTGTGGTAATTGAATTTCAGAGCTACAAAATCAGTTCTCAAGTCTGGTCATCTCATCACCCTACATTATACACCATGACATCAACAAATTCAGAGAGGCAGAAGAAAAAGTCTATGTATGTCTGGCAAAAGAGATCATGTGCCAGTGCATAATTCTTATAGGGAATCACATATTAGATTAAGGTTGGTTTTTTTTAAGCTGAAGAATTTCCTCAAGGAAGTTTTGCACAAAGCCACTGAGCCCAAAGCCTTATTTCACTACAATTCTTTTTACTGCTGAGATTTTTTAGCACCTCCCCTGCATAGTTATTCAAAATCAATGGCAAAACACCAGATAACATTCATCCAGGCATTGAAATATGACAATTGAAATAAGATGATAAATCATGCCACAGTTTATGCAATCCCTCTTTCATATTCTCTTCTCCTAGTCATTAAACTGATCTTCCTCTTTATTTTCATTCTAGTGATTATGTTTTCATGTTCTAAATAATTACTCTGAGTGCTCATATCTTTTTGATATCAAATCACTGTTTAAATAGGGATCTTAGAAATGACATAGCAGACTGGAGAAACATAGATGCTTTTATGTTTCCCCCCCAGTTACTGTAAACTCATGCCATTTCTTTCTTTAAAAAACAAACAAAACCCTCCAGGCCACTACTGATTTGTGTTGCATTTCTCTCAATTCCCTCCAGTGTCCCCTCTCTTGTTTTATGAGATTGCCTCCTGGGGAACATGCTGAAGTTCAAAGCCAGGGAATGTTCCCACTGTAGTCAATGCAAGCATATATCCCAGAAGCAGGATGTAAATTTCTATCTATAGTATAAGCCTTATGTGGATTAAAGCATTTAAAAGTGTAGCCTTGTGTGCTGGTCCCTAGGTCTTATCCCCAGATACTCTCCTAGGTCACTAATCCAGCTTTCCTCAGGGAATCTGGGACGTGGCTAGTAGCAGCTACTGAGAGTATCAGTTATTCTAATCCATTTTGCTTGTACTATTTAATGAAAACTGGTATCTTCAGAATTTAAACAGAAAGCAACCTCCCCTCTGCCTCACCAGCTCAGATCAGGAATTGTTACTCGACCTCAAAGGCAGCACATTCTACCACTGAAAAAAGAAAGTAGGAAGCCAAGCAACGGGACTTTTACTCTCTCATTCCACTGCCTCACGGAGCTGGAAACATTTTGCATCCAAAGTTATCTGTGGTTCTGGGCTCCAGGTTAGAAAGACCATGACAGATTATACTGGGATTTGCACAGATGATACCTCATAGACAGGGGTATTGTCTATGGAAAAGAAGTCACGCACGTCATCCGGGTTCTGCTTGGTGGAGTTTGTTACCTCATTCCCACCATTGCAGTAGTTAAGGCAGGAAGGAGGATGACGTTCTTTACTCCATTCCCATTCTTTGTACTCAAGAATGATAAAAACTCCCTCTGGAGCTTAATATCAGCCTTATCGTAAGAGTGCAAGGGTCTGGGAAAAACAAGTTCAAGAAGAGTTAGTGAATGCACCACAAAGAGCACAACAGGAATGAGAATCTGAGGAAGAATGTCCAAGAGATAATGCCTCTAAATGAAGCAGTGAAGATAGGAAGGCCAGACTCTCACCATAAATCAATACCGTGTTTATCCTTTGATTCATCTGACTTCTGCCCCAAGATCTTACACTCTGGGTAACAAGGCCCCCTACCCCATCACAGGCTGAGCTTCGTGGACTCTCCTGGATTACGCAGTGTTTGTCGGTGCTTTACCTGCTTCTTCTCAAAAACTGCTGAAAACTCATTCTGCCGCTTTAGAACGAGTAATGACAGAGGACAGCCATAAAAAGAGCCTCATCAGAGGCAGGAACCAAAACGACAAAGCTTTTTCCTGGACAGTCACATAGCAACAACATTGCAGCAGCAAAGACTTCCACTGTCCTCTGAAGCATGGACATACTTTCCTCCAGAGACTAATACTAAAAGGAAAAACAAATAGACCCAGATTGCCTTGCATACCTCCTGGGTGGCCTGCTATCTGATATGCAGTCAGCTCTGCTACTCGAGTTCAGCACAGAAAAACAAAACTCCTTTTCTGTTCTATCATGGAGGGGATGCTCTTGATGCCAGTCTGGTACCTACAGAATCAGGTTAGGCCTCTGTATTTGCAAAGTCACACGCTAATTTCAAAAAAGCAATACATTTAGTCCAACTTGGGTGTAATCAGAGTAAGAAAACTACAGGCTGACTCTCAGAGAACACTTCTAATAGTGAACTCAGACTATTGTAAGAGAAGTGGAGGAAACTCCCCATATGTGCCTTTTGAAACAAAAAAGGATAATACCACTGGGAGAAAGCGTGACTCAAGTGATGGGTTCATTGCCTTAACAGAAATTAGACTTGGAAAAGATGTATTTCATGAATAATTTTCTGAGGACTAGATGGGAACCTTCCTCCACACCTCTGAACCCAAGACCAGGAGAATTTCATGGGTTGAAATATGAAATAATTTAAGACAGCATAGAGCATACAATTTCAGGGGACAGTGCTGTAGTCTTTTAGGCAGTGCCACAGAACTGGAGGCTAAAAGCCAACAGTGACTTCATTCTAAGGTGTATTTAAAGTCAAGAGCTTTCCCTGATACCTGTCCTTCTGTGAAATTGGTGTAAACCAGATGAATATGCCAGTGCTAAGAAACAACTCAAGCTTTTATAGATCAGTTTACTTAAATGGAAAGCTACTGTCTTTTCTTCCAAACTTCTGCACCCTGCAGCTAATGCTTCATAAAGAACTGGTTGTGAAGAAAAAAAATATTTTATTATTTACTTTAAAAGATGGACTCTGCTTTTATTAAAGCCTTGCTCCAGGGTGCATATCATGTGGTGATAACTGCTTTTGTCTTCTGCTCTAAGTAACAAACAATATTATTCTTAAGAAAGAAAAATCTCAACATTATATCAAACCAAGACTATCCTGCACACCTAGCATATATCACAGGATGAACTGTTTTCTATAATTGCCTTCTACAGCTCAGTTACAAGCAGAACCAAAGGCCCAACTCAACTGTAGAGAAACACTAGCCAGAGCTTGCTAAGAACAGCCATGGCCATACAAGAACTGTACAAATCATTAAGCCTGTTTAACAGTGAAAATCACTCTGTAAAGAAAGGAGACATTCTCAAGAAGTCAAAAAATGCTTTATAAAATCCCATTAAACTGCAGCAGATTAGAAAGATTGGGGTCCCAAGCTGCAAACTGCATTTAGTCAAGGCCACATGAAGAAATATTTCTTTGATTTTACAGAAACGACCAATGAAAAAACTCTCACAATAGCATGTTGCCCACAGACACCTATAGAAAAAATACTAGAACGCGATTTCAAAAATTGATGCCAAATTGAAGTTGCTGCTTCAATACACACTGTTTCTCACCATCAGTGACCTTTGATGCAGTAAATATTTTGGGGTTTGTATACAAATTACTTATGACAATGTAATATCAGGGACTGCAGTGTTAAAAAATCTGAAGGAAGAGGATGGAAACACCCAGTAGAAGTAAACACGCAAACCCACACATATCTCTTTGAAGTGACACAGCTCACTGCACACCTAGAGGAAAGCGATGAATTTATCTCCAGAGAAAAGTAAAAATGTACTTATTCCCTTACCTGGTAACCTTCAGTCTTCTTTTGGCACCATTTCAAGAGAGCATTCCTCTTCGAACCACCATACTCCCGAGCCAGCGCTGCCAGTGGGTCCTTTCTCTCCACACTAATCCAGGGAAGCATAAGGGAGAAGAAGATAAATACGCTTGAAGTCGCTTAATTTTTACCAGTGTGTAAACAATACCTGTGTGACAAAGCAGAATAGCAGCACAGAACCTAAATGTAAACCAAACAGTAACAGCTTTCAGAGCTTGCATTCTGTGTTTGCCTTTAGATGAGACAAACTCAGTTGGTATTACTGCATACAAAGACCTGAAAGAACAGTGTATGGATATTCGATGGCATGTGATAACCCAGCATTTCTGCTATTATTTTCATCAGCTTTTCTCATTAAATTTTCAAGTAACCTCTTTGCTTTACACATTGAAAGCCAGGACTTAGGATGTAGAATTGAAAGAAACTCTCTAAAGAATCTGTAACAGCAAATTCACATCCAGTTGAGCTGCTGCATAATGAATTCTTAAACTGAAAAGTCTGGAAGCTGTATTGCAGTCAAGGCCTAGAGAACAGTTACAGGCCAACAATTGAAACACCCACATTGTCTTCACCCTACAGCATCTACTGTTGGAAACTATGATGGAAAATATGTATGTTTTTCTCAAGACGAAGAAAATTACGTGTCCAGCTTTCCCTTAGTCCTCAAAGCTTTTAGTTTTTAACTCACCATAACAAGCAAAGCTACAGTAAGATAATGGGGGTTGACCACTTGCACATCATGAAAATCTTGTATAAAATTGAGCGGCTCCTGACAACTTGCTATCCTCATTTTGTCATGATTGCTGATCTTACAGATAATCGTGGTTATTAAAATCTGAATTTTGGTATTTAGATCTGACACAGTGTGGTAATTCTGAACCAGACAGACGAGCCAGCAGAGTATCCACTGGAGACAGGGGACCCCCAGATTAAATCATTCATCTTGGTGCCCAGTAATGCTGTCAATCTTTCCGATGTTCTGTTTTTCCCCCAAAACTGAGTTGGTACCTGAGCTTGCTTTGGGGTTTCAGGCTGCTGGGGGTAGAGGTGAGCATTCTGCTGCTGAAGGCCATAGGGGGTTTGCTCAGGGATTCCAGGGAGGGGCTTTTACGGAGGTAAGGATCTGGTTTCAGCTCTTCATTTCTCCCCTTCAGAAGGTCTGTGGGAATTAAAAAAAAAAAAAAAAAAAA